ATACATGCATACATACATATGTATGAATTTTTAGCAATTTTTCATTTTTGAGTGAACTTTGGACATTTAATCAACATTAACATATGGTTAAGTGTCTGACAACATTGCATTCAGTTTGTACTATATTCTTGTAAGATATTTCAGTTCATTTCTGTCTTGACAAAGACGATCAGCAGGCATTATGATGCATTTATTACCTCATTTAAAAAGTCAAATGTGTTGTGTAAAACTCTAAAAGCACCTTTTCAGCATCTTTGGGCCTAATGGACAGGCAGACAGAAACTGCTGAGTATTGTATTACAGATCTATAGCGTGTGAAACTTGCCATCAGTTTTTAATCAGCTGTCCTTAAATAAAACTGCAAAGAGCAGAGAGCATGTAATTGACCGTGACATGAAACAGATTTTTAATAATAAAAACATGTCCTGTTTTATAGACTCGCTACTTCAGCGGGCGACCCTCCAGCCAAACATTCAAAGAAAATAAACATAAATAAAAGACTAGTGGTGAAGTGAATATTAGCAGCAGCGTCCCACTATATCAAATGACACCGTCAGCTTCAATTAGCTTAAAAACTCGTTTTCCAGGCAGCAAGCCAAACGTTTTAAGCCATTTAGATCCATTTGGAGTGGATTACGGTCACTACTCTAAGTTGAATACATTTGAATACATTATATATGTATATTTAGGGCCTGACTGAAGCAAACGGGAACAACATGGTATGTTTGGTGTGTTTTAATTAGTCCATGTATGTAGTTTGTTTAAATCTGCACCCATTCTGACTAACAGCAAAGAACACTATTATGAGTGTAGTATTATTAAGACGCATACAGGACCAGCTATGAGGATGCTAGCAAAAACTGAATGCACTTTTTTAAAAGTGAGCATTCCCTCAAACACTCTTATTGCAATAGAGCTTGACTTGATTCACCAAGATGATGTAGGATAAGTCTCATAGAGCTATGCACTTGCCTATTAAAATAAACCTCTGTCATTATTTACTGTTGTCATTAAAATGAAAACTCTGTCATTATTTACACACCCTCGTGTTGTTCCAAATCCAAAAGACTGAATACACAGTTTTAACAAGCTATCAAGATAACAAGACACACCTGGGAGCAATTAGACTAATCAACAGGAAATACTACAAAATGACTACAAATAAGGTGCATGAAATGCTTCAAAATAAAAGTCCAGTCAAGACACAGGCAACAACCACAATAATAAACCAGACAATAGTGTTGTAGTCAAGACCACTTATAATCCGAGACCAAGACCAGACCAGCACTGCTCAAATTAATCTGAAAGATCCACATTTACTGCCTGACAAATGTCTTATTTTTAATCATAAAATACAACTGGAATAATAAGACACCAGTCAAATGAAATCTCGAGCAACAAAATGCATCTTTGCTCTGCAGTGGTGGAACAGATGCTATAGTTTAAACTTAAAGACATTCCCTTTACCATTGTGTAGTTTTACTTTACATTTTCCTTATTTTCTTATTTATTCCCAATCCTTCCACCCGATTTGGCCAACAACTGGGACTGTTCTCCAGACTGTCTACCTCTTGGGGCATAAATCTCTTCCTGCTGGTCTACCCCTGTGCTTTATGAACTTGTGTGTTTTTAAGAAATCTTTGATTCACTCGCTCTGCATTTGGGACCCTTCCTGCTGATCCTGACACTACCAAACAAGCCACGATTTACAGCACAGTAGTTTTAGTTAAAGGAGTAAATGAGCTGATTGTTAAACAAATCCTTTTGGGCTTGTAAACAGTGCTTGATTTGTGCAGATCTCTCTCCTGATTCAGGCCAGACAAATTTGCACTGTTATTGTGGATTATGGACTTGTATTTCAGTTGGAAGCAATTGCTAGGTTATGTTAAAAATGTCTTGATGGATTTGTTTCTTGCAAACACGCAGCTTTTGGCTTCAGACGCTCTTAACTGATGGACTGGGGTGGTGTGGATTACTTGTGGATTATTGTGATGTTCCTATCAACTGTTTGGACTCTCAT